GCCATCCGGCTGTCTATGTTAGCCAAGATAAAGATAGCGGATTTGCTATAGTTTACTCTTTGACCCGAGAATTGGCAGAACTCATCCAGGCACTACTTGATAGTCCGAACCTGTGCACTCTCATCCTCTGTAAAAAGGATAAGATCATCTGCAAAGAATAAGTGAGATAACATGGGCCCCTCCTTAGATAACCTCAAAGGTTTCCATAGTTTATCATGAATAGCCTGATCAATCCTGTGTGAGAGACTTTCCATGCACAACACAAAGAGATAGGGTGAGAGAGGGTCTCCCTGACGAACTCCTCTGATTGGAGCAATCGGGACAGAGAGCTCTCCATTCCACAGGAGCCACATCTTGTTATTTTCCACACTGAACATGATGCAGCTTATCCACGAGCTGGGTAAGCCAATCTATTTGAGCGTATCCCGCAGGAAATCCCATCGAAGTCTATCATAGCCTTTCTCGAGGTCGATTTTCAGCAACATGCCCCCTCTCTTGCCTTTTTTCTTCCTAAGAGAGTGTAGAACTTCCTGTAAAACAATAATATTGTCAGTTGTCTGTCTCCCTGGGATGAAACTGCTTTGGCGGGGGGACACTAGCTTCCGCATGATAGACTTAAGGAGCTTGGTGATGGCTTTTGTGATCGCTTTGAGGCACACATTGTTGAGGGATATCAGGCGCAAATGCGTAACCATCTCCGGCTGCTCCACCTTCGGAATAAGAACCACTATTGACTATCTGACCTTGCTTGGAAGCACCCCTGTAGAGAAAAAGTTAGTGGCCATATCAATAAGAGCTTTCCCGACGACTTGCCAAGCCTTTTAGTAGAAGATAGCTTGGAAGCCGTCTGGCCCTGGAGCTTGGAACAGCTTCATGTCATGCACTGCTCTGTGCACATCCTCTCCTGTGAAAAGGCCGAAGGAGGAGAAGAAGGTCCTCATGGGCGAGTCTTGGAAAGGCTTGCTTAGACATAGAATCAGAATAATCCTGGCAATCCTGTAGATACAACAAGGAGAAGAAATTAAAAACCATGGCTGCCAACTCCTCCGGATCCGAGATCCATTTATCGTTGCTGGCCTTCAGGCTTCCAATCTTAATTTCGTCGACGAATATTCGCTTGTTGGTGGAAGTAAGTTGTGTTACGTTCGCCAAATTGAACCCACTGCCTGATGAGTTCTGCCTGATTAATTGACACGCTACGACACAACACCTAACAATGGCCAAGTGTAACCAATGAAAGGGACTGCAATATAGTGGCACAAGTAATAAATATTGAATCCAAAGGTCTCTAGAGTTACTATTACTCAGCTTCAGTTCATTATCTAGCAAACTAGATTAAGGATTGATTTACTAAACTACTCTACTAATTACAAGTTGGGAACTCACTTAGGTATGATTCCCCCTAGCTCCTCAATTAACTCTAAGTTGCAATTACATTTGATTGATCTACTGTTGACTAAATTGGGGAAGATCCTAAATTAGCTTGGAATCTCTTAAGCTGACCAAGCCCTCTTAGACAGAATACCCGGCATGCGACTAGCCTTCACCGGGATAGACTGCTAAGGCGATTCACACAGATCTCCACTACTGGAATGAATTCCAGTACAAAGTAGTGAATTGAGTGACTCTCACACAACTAATTCACTACTATCAATCAAGGAAGCTCTCTTAACCTAATCAGATTCTATCTATCATAGATTAAAGCAGAAATCAAGAGAATTTGATTAGGGTTGAATTGACTCAATAAATCATACAAGCTTGTAGTCTCGTCCTCTTTATTTTCATGACAAGCTTGCATGATTCTTTGTCCATACACGAGGTAGAAATACATTCTTCTTCAGTTCATGTCCGAGTTTCTTCTCCCGAATCGCCAATTGATATCCGATTGACTTGAAACTCGCGCCTAGCCTTTCCTTCGACGCTTGGGACCTGAAATGTGACAAAATAGTACAACCCAGAGTAAAATAGGCCAAAGATGCACGACTAGGAGTTGCAAACGGATAAGAAATAAGTGTGCAAACACATGCAAATACATCGTTATCAAATTCCCCCACACTTAACCGTTTGCTTGTCCCCAAGCAAACCAAGTCAGACACAAGGCGCACAAAATATTTGTGACATGTCATAGCGGCACAAAACACGTGAATCACACTATACTTTAGTCATCAACACATGAACAACCTCGACAACAACCTATACAACCACCACATATGACATTTGAGTGCAGCAAAATCGAGCAAAGGAAGAGTATCCCTTCTGTTCACCAACCAACATAGACTCGACTCAACCACTTATCCAAGACAGTCACTTGATGCATAAAGCTCAAGACATCAGAATCAAGACCGCGCCATCTAGGTCCTCACCGGGGTAGAGAGTGTAAAGAACAAGGAAATTAATCGTTCACTCTCGACCAGTGGAGTCAGGACAATTTGATGCGAATAATGCGCATGCTTATTCTCTCAATCCATAACGTCTCTTCACCATGACGGCAGCCTCTAAATGTTAGAGTTCACATATTGGGTGTTATCACTAACTAATCCGGAGGTCTTAGACACAGGTTCAAATGACTGGCTAGGGTCTTGGACATGGGGAATAAGCCTTTTAGGTGGTGGGAGTATTCATAGCACAAGGTTCCACAGTTCCAAACCCAACACATTCACAGCCAATCAAACCTTTTGCTTTCTTTCTGCCATTCTGCATTACTCAAATTCTTTAGAGCACAAGAGCGAAGGAGGTCACAATAATGTTAGTATTTCTAAGCCAGACTGCTAAGAAACACTACTTAATGAGCATGATTCAGATTTTTTGTAGTGGCTCTCTTTAGCTTTCATTCATTTTTTTTTCTTCTTTCCTTTTTTTCCATTCCTTTGAGAGAACCACCACCTCTACACATTTTTTGAAACAAATGCTCAACTTTTAAGAACTACCTCCAACCCTCACATTATTTTTAGTAGAAACAGCAGAGAACAAACAAAAACCACTATGTGGAACCTTCTAAGAGACACAAAAGTGTGATTTTTTTCATTGTAGACCGAAAGAAAGAAAGTGACACGGCTCAAAGGGGCTGACTAGGGGGTATGACACACTAGGACAACCAATTTGGTTGTGGGCTATTCCTATGCCTCCATCATCTTAGCTAATTACAACGTAAATGCTACATCATGGAAGAGGGATCTATCGCACAAGAAAGAAATGAGCAAGCTCAAATCTCACATGGATACTGATAGCATCGTATTTGCACGTGTTTTCACTCGGGTTTCCTGTCCATTTTGGCTCGAATTGATTGTTCCTTGGCCTATTTTACGCCAGGTTGTGTTGTTTTGTCGTATTTCAGGTCCTAGCAAGTAAAGAGGTGCATAGGCGCAAGTTTCAGGTCATTTGGAGGTCAGATGGCGAATCACAGAAGGAATTACGGGCAGCCCCTGCCAAATTACGACCGTAATTGGTCAGGGCATGCCCGTAAAACAATTGCCGAGCCTTTTCCCCAGAATTTCCTCTCGGTGCTAAAATTACGGGCAAGACCCCCAAGAATTACGACCGTAATTCCCAAATTACTGGCAGTAATTGGGAAATTACGGGGGTATCTCCTCCTCCTTCAGCTTAATTGAAACATGCGTTTTGGGGCGAATTACGGGCAGGACGTGATTACGGCCGTAATTCAGCCCGTAATTCTCCCAGAGTCGGGTTTTTGAAGCCAGAATCGAGCCAAGGAAAGAAAAATCGAATTTCTTGAGCAAAAACAGAGCCCTAGAGAGAGAAAGGACGAAGAACTCACCCTAGAAGCCATCTTGGAGCTGGGTTTCATCAAATCAAGCTTGGAGATCGTCCTAGGAGTGGAAATCATCATCCCGGAGCAGATTTTCCTCATCTTTATGAGTATGACTACTTTGTATCTTGTTTTCCTCTCTCTCTCTCTATGGAGTAGAACCCCTCTCTCACTTGGGGATGAAGAACCCTAGTTCTATGTGTTAGGGATTGATTGTAATGACTTGGGATGAGATTACTGTTTGATTTTAATCGAATGATGCATGTTTATTGATTCAATTGAAGTCTGATCAACTTTTCCTGATTCCTGCTGCAATCTGAGATAGATAGAATCTGATTAGGTTGCTAGAGTCTCATCTTCGATAGTAGGAGATTGGCTATAAGAGAGTTAGCCAGTTTACTGCTTTGTACTGGAATCCAATTCCAGTAGTGGAGTTCTGTTCTTACTGCTTCAGCTTTCTATCCCGGTGAAGACTAGTCGTCTGCCGGGTAGTTAGACTGAGAGGGCTTGGTCAGCTTAAGAGATTCCAAGCTACTGTCGGATCTTCCGCAGTCTAATCAACAGTAAATCAACCCAGGGAAATTGCAATTGAACCTAACTAAGGAGCTAGGGGGACTCATTCCCGAGTGACTCTTTCCTGCTTGAGAAAACCGAATAATTTCTTGCTTTCTTTCTGCTTTTGCTTTTAAACAACAATCACTTACTTTAGTTGGCTAGATAACAGAGAATCACTGAGTAAGCAGTAGATCTAGACCCCGGGTTGATAATATAACTTGCCTGTTACTGCATTTCCGGTCTGCGATTACACTTGGTCGCAGATTGGTGTTGTGTTTTGGCGTGTCAGATACCTATATGCTATATCTCTCATTCTGATTCCCTAAACTAGATGCATAAACGATTGTAAAGAACAAGTGATCGATCCAAGTCACAGTTGGTAAGCAAATAGTTGAAAAAATGAACCCTTACACAACTCTACTGCACGTCTTGGTCATCATTATAGGTTGTCTCAAGCACAATCTAGTTGTCATGCCTCAATTCGAACAACCACTCGATTCACCAATCAAACCCACAGTGCCAATATGATCATGCAAACATCAGTACTTGGAGCCCTCAAATCTCGAGATTTGGATAGCGGACTAGGCTCCAAGCACACAAACTCATCTAGCGGTCAACAATAGATAAACACCCCCCACACTTAAGCACGACATTGCCCTCAATGGAGCAGAGGGAAAGATAAGGGGAAACAATGTTATTGGGAATACGGACTGTCGGGGGACTGTAAATCAGACCAGTCAGTAGGGCTAGATTCATCAAAACACACTGGGTGATAGAAACCATAGTTCCAAGTGGACAAACCGAAAACAAACGAAAGGAAAACAAACCTTGGTGGGGTTGCCTCCTCACAAGCGCTTCTTTACCGTCGTGAGCCGGACAGTGGCTCCTAAGTTTCGGTCCATGCTAGAACCTCCTTGAAGTTGAGGTTCTCGTCGATGATGTGGAGTCTCAAGTCACAAGTAGGTGGTATGACAAGTGATGTAGGCTCGTGTACTTGATTAATATGAAGTCTCCACCTACAAGACCTCTTCTTTTCTTCCTCACTCGTCTCATTGCCCCAAACCAGATATGACAGCATCGACTGACCACCATCGTGTCCACCAAGAGGGACCGATGTCGATGTGGCCTTGGTCTGGCAAAGAGACACTGCAAATGGGTCTTTGCCAAGCAGCTCCTCAAAGTTTTGTGGAGATATCACATGTAACTCATGGTCGGTGCAAGCCTCTTCTACCTCAACTTCATCCTCAACCTGGGCACCACTTGCTTCTTCAACCCCCCTTCCTTCTTCAAAATGTGGTCTCTCTCCTTGGAAAAGATCAAGAACTACCTCTTCTTTGCTTTCTTCCTCATCCTCCACAACTTCTTTCCTCACCCTTTCTCTCTCTTCTTCTTCCATAATAGATTGGAGAGAAAGTCGCCATGCAAGGTTCTCAATAAGTTCAGCTTGCATCTCCTTGCTCGGGCCTAGCATGTCAGAGCAGAAATGGGGAAAGTTGTGATCTACCACTAGAGGATACACTTGATCATGATTATCATTGGAGCTTTCTGTGACAACTTCTGTATGCTCCTCAACATCCTCATGATTGCCTTCTTCTTCCTCCTCCTCTACTTGTATAGCAGCATAAAGGTTGTCTTGAGAAAACTGTGAACAAGCTTTCTCAATGACCTCTATGTGCTTCTTTATGCTCCGAAGGGTATCCTCAGTTTCACGGGGAAAGGAGAAGTCAATTTGGGCAATTTCCTGGATATGAGGATCCATCTCGGGAAAGGATCTCTCAGGTACTCGAGCAATCTGCTCCACGAGAAGCCTCAAGTGATAGTTTGGTCTGGCTGCGGAGTATAGCATGGCTCTACCGGATGGCCCGTGAGGGCTGTGGCTAAATCAAGATCTGATGGCCCTTCTGGTTGTGGGAGGAATTCTTCTTGATAAGGAGGTTGTTCTGATATGCCTAGGGGACTGATTGTTCTCTGTAGTAAGGGGATTGATACTGGAACCCGAATCCATAGTCTTCTCCTCCTTGATTGCTCCAGGAAGTCTCAGGATAATATCACTCAGATGGTGGTGGATACCCCCATTGGTTGGAGAAGCCATTAGGATCCATGATTCAGATATACACCAACAAAAACAAAAACGCCCAAGTGAAAAGCAAGGGTGGGAAAAATAATGCTAAAGTAACAAACTTCTGCCTTTCCTAATAATCTAGAAAGTCCCCGGCAACGGCGCCAAAAACTTGACACGCTACGACACAACACCTAACAATGGCCAAGTGTAACCAATGAAAGGGACTGCAGTATAGTGGCACAAATAATAAATATATAATCCAGGGGTCTCTAGAGTTACTATTACTCAGCTTCAGTTCATAATCTAGCAAACTAGATTTATGATTGATATACTAAACTACTCTACTAACTACTCTACTAATTACAAGTTGGGAACTCACTTAGGTATGATTTCCCTAGCTCCTCAATTAAGTCTAAGTTGCAATTACCTTTGGTTGATCTACTGTTGATTAAACTGCGGAAGATCCTAAATTAGCTTGGAATCTCTTAAGCTGACCAAGCCCTCTTACATAGAATACCTGGCAGGCGACTAGCCTTCACCGGGATAGACTGCTAAGGCGATTCACACAGATCTCCACTACTGGAATGATTCCAGTACAAAGCAGTGAATTGACTGACTCTCGCACAACCAATTCACTACTATCAATCAAGGAAGCTCTCTTAACCAAATCAGATTCTATCTATCATAGGTTAAAGCAGAAATCAAGAGAGTTTGATCAGGATTCAATTGACTCAATAAATCATACCTCAATCGAATATAATCAAACAATATAGCATCCAAAACTTCATATAAGAAAGATCCTAACACATGGAACTAGGGTTCCGCAAAACCTAAGTGAAGGGAAATTACTCCATAGAGAAGAGAGAGACTGCATAAATCTTATCTATATCTTCAATCTCCATCTCCAAGCTTGATTTCCGAGCTCCAATGGCGAAGAAATCCTCCAAAATAGCTCCAAGAATGTTCCCAAGTCGCTCTCTCTCTAGGCTTCGTCCCTTGGGTGTTTTGAGATCCAAAACCCAGCTCTCCCTTTCCATTGGCTTGAATCTGCCTCAAAAACCCGATTCTGGGCAAATCACGGTCGAGGACACGGCCATGTTTTACTTTTGCCCGCCCGTATTGTGCCCCCAGCAACCCTCACGACACGCCCTCGGCAGTAAAAACACTAGCGGGGCTAGATGAAACACGACCGTGTTTTTAGGGTAGTCTGCCTGTGTTTTTACTGCCTAACATGTTCCCCTATATTCAATGCTTCGTTTCTCCCTCGTCCGAACTCCGAATCAGTCGTCGTTTGATCCCAGACGCTCGTAGTCTTGTCATATTTATTTTCATGACAAGCTTGCATGATTATTTGTCCATACATGAGGTGTAAATCCATTCTTCTTCAGGTCATGCCTAAGTTTCTTCTCCCGAATCGCCAATTGATATCCGATTGACTTGAAACTTGCGCCTAGCCTTTCCTTCGATGCTTGGGACCTGACATGTGACAAAATAGCACAAGCAATGTAAAATTGGCCAAAGATGCACGACTAGGAGTCGCAAACGGATAAGAAATAAGGGTGCAAACACGTGCAAATACATCGTTATCATTAATCCTGTTGTTAAAACGGCTGCAACGACGATATGTGGAAGTTGTAACCTGTCTCGCTTGTTCTGAGGGCATCCAGATACCTTTGAAATTGATAGTAAGAAGCCATGGCAAGTCAAGCTCCTCGCCACGCTGAATAATAGCCTGCCACAAAAACTTTTGTTAACTCTGTCTAGGACTGACAAAGACGGTCGTAAGCATCCATTGTGGCTAAGCGGCACTTGTGATATTTACTGTAAGATGCCGAAAACAAGCCGAAATGTCCTCCACCTTGAACGTATGAGCATCCCAGCAGAGCCTTATCCCACCTTTCCTTCCATCCGCTTCCACCCTCATGATGTTTGGAAATCCCATTCTTCCACAGACTCTATCCACCACCTCTCCGCTAATCTGAGGTTCCAAAAGAATCAAAATGTCAGGTTTATGGCTCTGCACAATGAGTTTCAGGGCTCTATAGAAGGCGGCGTTACCAACACCCCCTACATTCCAAGACATAATTTTAAAAACAGTAGAAGACGACATAGACATAGACATTAAAATAAAGAGGAGAAAGAGAAGAGAAATCAGGTGTTGAGGAGAGGAGTCGAGGATGTCTCCGTCTGCATGGTCTGGGTGTTCGCCCCTCCTGTATTGCCCGATTTAGACTCTTGGGGAGCACTCTCTACATTCATACTCGAGTTAGCCGCACCCGTCCAGGCTACAATCTCCTGGAGCGTGAGCGATGCTATTCGTATCTGTGCTTTATTCTTTTTTTTTTCTTAATCGGAGTCCAAATCTGAAGTGATTTAGCGGCAACCATCACCTGCGCCTTCCGAAGAGACTTGGACTTCTTCTTCTTCTAAATTTTCTGGTTCTTTGTCCGAGTCGCCGTCGAAGGGATCTCTGTTTTTTTTAATTGGCCGAACTGCTGTTCATATTGGGGTATATCCACAATCTAGATAAAGGTGCCATTTGGGCTAGCAACTGTGCGGGTCATCAGGGGGATTGGAAGGGGGGGTGGGGGGGGGCTCTCTTTGGGTGACAAAATTGTTGGCCAGTGACTTGAACTAGAGCCTACTTTATTTGATAGAATAGTTACACCATGTTGCCAATTATTGGGAGCTTCATTATTGTGCCCGGTAGTCAAAACTAGTTTCGCTTGAGGAATAGAGCCAAGAACTCATTTGTCACCCACCAAACTCTCAATGTTCTATTTTTCCGTATTCTCCTTCCCTTTCTGTTGCTAGAGATTTTCCTTTATTAAAATTAGCTTGTCTAGCCAAATCCACCCGTTGGAAATTAGTTTCCTTAACTCCCCAAAGGTTTGTCAGTAGTAGTTTCCATATCCTTCTCTATATTCCTTCCTATCCCAACCTTTCCATTATTGGCATGATCTTCTTGATTTGGTCTAGCATTCATTTTTCATAATTTCGGTTTCCCGCCGTGATCGCCGCGTTACTTGCATCCATGGACCATACCCCTCCTTCTCCTCCGGCGCCGCCGCCAGGACATTTTCTGGTGATAGCCCGCCCGTCCCGACAAGTGTATATTGCGCTGTTGGCAGCAGATCATGACTGGAGACCGATGTATGCCCAATCTTCCGGAATGTGAAACAAAACGTTGGTAGATTTTCATACTCAATGTATTGCCATTGACCATCAAGGAGGATTCGTGTTACCAACGGTTTGGAAAGATCGAGTTGCTGAATAGGACATCTTTGTGGTAGAATTGTATTGCAAACGCCGGAAACTGTACCCACACCACCATGGTTTTTGGCAGAGCATCCAATAAATGAAACGCCAGAGTCCATTGAAAGACCACCAAGTAGTGATCGAAGATCACCCTTGGCCCCTCCGTTAAAGCACAAAATTAGTCTGAATCATTGCTGAGCTTAACGAGAAAACACTCCTGTCCTAGCGCCATGATCTCTAGTGATCTGGTTGGATGCCACAGAGCCTTGATCATGTTGCTGAACGTGATGAAGGAGATGTTCAATCCTGCCACAGAATATAGAGTTTCTCCTTAAATCCTCTAGAAACTTTAAGCTCTAGTTCCCCATTGAAGGTTCCCGGAATCAGATCGTGCTCACCAATCGGGGTCCATGAAATCTTTGACTTGTTAGCCTCCGAGCTCTGTCCAGTAACGATATTCGCATAAGACAGAGGCAGGGTGGGAGAGCTCTACTTCACGGGTTTCTCTTGCAAAGGCGAGTTCACTATCATATTCTTCTCCCTTGTGGTCGTCGTTGGATCATTAGAGAAGCCGGTATGGGTCGCACCATCCATCAAGATAGCCTCGCTTCCACCAGACGCGGATTGGCAGTCATTTGGTGGCCTCACCGAAGGATTGAGGTTGGTCGCCGACGATTGGTTCAGAGGTTCCATTTAGAGACAACTCTGTGTTGATTATAATTCGTCAGTTCAAATTCAATCAACATAATTGATATCCACTATAATATATCAGAAAATTTTTCTTCCCTTTCAAAGAAGTGTTTTAGGTATGTTGGCTTTGTGAACTACTTCTTTGGCCTTTTTTGAGATGGGTGAATACATTTATTTTGAGATAGCCAGTCTCTATTCGGGGCAAGAGCTGAACGTAGCAGTCAAAGACCAAGATTAACCGAATAGATTAAAGAATAAATTCACTTATGTCAGGAATATGCTTTTGACTAGAGGCTATTGGTGAGCTTAAAGTACATGTAATTTCAAGTTTCAAGAAGTTCTCCACGAGGCTTACTTCGCATAGGCTACGCAGGCTTGGTTCTCGGCTAGTGTTTGTCCTTCTCTGACTTTAAGAACAACAAACCACCCTTCCTTTAATGACATGGTCTTCCTTCATCATTCTAGGAATCCCTTCTTTCTTCGCACATAGTGGAAAAAGAAAGAGAGAAGAGCGGATTCTCTAGCACCGAATTTGGCATAGCAACAATAAATAGAATTATGTAAAGAAAACCTAAAATCTCTCAAATTAACACGTAGTTTCTCAAAGCAAGAGTTATTTCCTGCCTTTTTAAAAAGAAGAGTATTATATTTAGGGCTTGGAGATGAGCTTCTAACTGTGTAGACATCAAGCTCACTACACATGGTACCTTAATGTTTATGTATTGTGGTGACACTCAAGTTATGTTGTTTATCTGTGCAATATTAAGCATCGTTTCATTCACTTATTGTGCATGATTGATTATTGGTATCCTATTTTGTTCTATTTGGTTTATCAACAGTTCAGACCATCTCTTGAATCGTTTGCTCGAGTTTATGTTGTTTAGTTTTGATGACTTTCGGGATATTGGGATATAAAAGACGAGTATACGAGCGTGTGAAACCAAACAAGATTTGAGTAAGTTATCAGATGGAGGAGTAAGGCGACCTGGATTGCTCATGAATAATATTGGCCTGTCTATTTGTAATAGTTAATTTTCCATTTTTAGTATTGATTCTTATCACATATAATTAAAGATTTGTGTAATTATTTTTTAATATTGGTCGATCGTAGTCATTTGCTATTAACCAATATTGATTTCCTATAAAATGTTAATAACTACTAAAAGTCGCAATAACGTAACTATGATACATAAATAACTAATAAAATTGATAAAGCACTACCACAAAATACTCTTTTTTTGTAAGTAATACTATTACTATAGAGAAATAGTACTAGACATTATCTATGACAACTGAGTACCACTACCACAATATCACTACTACAAATATGTAAATCACTACTATGATCGAAATTACTAACACAACAATGATAGTGTATTACTCCATAATATATATCATAGAAAATATGATTATTGCATCTATATCAATAAGAGAGAGAAACGTGTTGGATGAAAATAAAGATAATTAATGCTTTGGCAAAAAAAAAAAAAGAGGATAATTAATGGGGTGAAAATCGTGAAAGAAGTATAATTTGAAGATAGAATTAATTGAGCGAAGAATATGAATATATTATTTTGATTTTCAAGTTTCTCCAAAAATCAACTCCTACTATTTTAATGTTTCCTTTTTTTTATACGAGGTAATCCTATTAGATCTTCCTTTTCTTTTGACAGGTACTAATTAACGCCCTAACTTTTTAAATTTATTGCCCTAACTTAGATAAGTTGACGTTTTTACCCAAAATATCCCCAATCTCTAACCAAATTCCAAAAAATAAAAGCAATTCCCAAAAACATAGAACTCGCCCTAAATGTGAGCCGTCGCCCTAGGATCCCCATCGCCGGCGAACAAGACCTCGCCCGTCGCCGCCATTGATCCTGGAAGTCCTTGCCCTTCGCCGTCGTTCACCTGGAAGTCCTCGTCATGGCTGCTCCGTTGCTCGTTCCGCCCAGTCGACGCTGCCAATTCCTAGCATATGAAAATCAGTCGGAGGGCTCAGGACAGGCCGGGACTTGCTCTGCTTCTGCCGACATTCGACGGGAGGTCGATGAACGAGTGTCGATGATCAGTCTTCACCCTCCTTCCTCGTAAACAGGGACTATCCGTCTTCTTCCTCCTCCTTCCTCGACCGCGAAGAACCTCGGCGTGACGGTTCCTTCTTCCTCCTTCGGAAACTATGTCTCGGCAGACAATTGAACTCGGTGCTTCAGAACCCAGTAGTAGCAGAGGCGGCCGACGGGGCGGGATTAGTTTCTCTTTCCTGTGTCCTCGATCGGCGGAGTGGCAGGCCTGGCGGCGGAGACGAGGCGAACCGAGCAACATAGCACCCGCGGAAGATTGGCGAAGGCCGCCGTCAACTGAGCACCAAAGTAGCCGCGCGAAATTGGCCAAGGTTTTCGTCAGCCGAGTAGCAGAGCAACTGCGCAAGATTCGTCAACAGCCGGTGAATTTCATGAGCCGGATATTCCTTCCGTCGATGATGAGCAGAGCCATATAGGGATTAGGGCGATGGGTTGGGGCGATCGTTTTAGAAATTGAGGGTACTATTGTCTGTCTGATTAATTTAGGACAGAAATTTTAAAAAATTAGGGCGTTAAATAGGAATCCAGTTTTTTTTCCCGTTAAAAACCATTAAATTCGCATTTATTATTTTATCTCATTTTCCCCTATTTTTTCTTTCACTAATTAAATTATAGCAATTAGTTTGTAAGAAAAAAAATATAGCAATTAGATATAAAATAGATAGGAGATAATGGTTCATATGATGGTTAGTATAATGCAATTGTCTAAATAACTCAAATTGTGTAATTAACTTATTATGATCCAAATAACTCAGATTGAGTTATTTGGGGCACAATAACTCATGCAAATAATCGATTCAAACGACCCCTAAAGAGTTAGCACTTAGTACTCTATATTCTCCCTAAATTACTCTCTACATATGTTTGTAAAGGTTCTCTTACCTTGTCAATCACAAAGGAAAGATATTATGTCTTTATCAAAGGTTGTTAACTCGCGGGTCGACATGAAGCTGTGGAGGAAAATGACTCCACAAAATCGTGGGTCGACCCGCAACAAGGTTCACGAGTTGGAGGTCACAAAGCGTCGTTTTCTCCTTTGGCTTGTGAAATGCGATTTTTTCCGATTTTCCCCTGCATTAAACCCTATGTATGTCATTCTAAGTTAAACATTTGAACATTACTGTTATATGTGCGTGTTTGAATTTTTATTGTATGTTGGATCCAAGTACGAACTCTTGTTTTAGTGTAAATACTATATGCTATTATCCATGGAAGATTTTGATATACTTTATAAATGTATGAATAATGTAATCACTTTTTTCATACATCCTGCTAAATCGGACTAAGGCAATTAGACGATTAAATTTCAACCCACTTACTGGATTTAGCCAACGAGATAAACCGAATTGACAACCTTGTTGATAACTCATTTTCTGATGTTAATCTCAACTAATTTACGATCTTATCAGTTCAAACTACGAAAGTTGTAGTTTTATCCGGGGCTGAATCACCGTAATTAGTTGAACCAGCACTCCTCTGCAAAGGCCAAAATCTAGATCCAGTTGCAATTTTCGGTTGTGATTTTGCTGGCGGTAGCCAATTAACAGAATCAAATCTTGTTCCGCCAAAAATAATATATATCTCCTGACCATTTCCCATAATATACATTCCAAATTCTCTCTTTTTGGCTTTCCCATAATACGAAGAGGGGATTACCTTTCTTCCGCCACTTTTCTCCATTACAACGCACAAAAGGTTTGAAGCCAATTTCGTCTTTTCCCTTCCTTACTTCCTAATTGCTTCATAATTATCCTTAATCCTTGTCATCAATTGTTCCAAATCTCTTTTATATATGATCGAATCTCTTCTCTTCTCTTCTCTCTTTTGATCTTGAATCACTGTCACGTCCCCTCTCCATAAGTTGAGATTGAGGTGTTGTTCTGTTCTGTGGCTCTCCCACAATTTCAAGTCGCCATCAAAGCAAAGAGCTTCGAGCCCTCCCCCCATAAATTACAACTACTCCTACTAGCAAACTAAAAAGGAGAAGAGAAAGACAAGTCGAGCCATCCTTGGCGGGATAAGTAACGGCAGAAGTAGACGAAGAAGATCGAGTCTGTCTCCTCACATTTTTGGTATACAACGCATAGCTTGCGGGCGGAGGTTTTGAGGGTTTCCCCTTTCCTTGAACGTTACGACTGCAGTCTCCCAAACCGCGAATCCGTCCCTTCTTCATAAAGGTAACGTCTTTGAGATCCCCAGTTTTTGTTTTTGTCCGTCTCCTTCATTGTGTGTCGTCTTTGGATCTTCTTGCTTGCTTGCTTGCTTCTCCCCTGTCTGTCTCTCTTCCATCGCAGCACCTCTGCAGCTTCTTCTGCTATGTTGGTTAGTCTAATTTGTAATTCCCCCTCTTTGAGTTTCTTGGTGTAAGGATCGTCATTTCCCCCAAATGCTTATCTGGGTTTCTTTTTCCTTTCCTTGCATCTGCTCACCGTGCTTTGATTTCTAAGCTGGGTTTTCTTTCTTCTGTTACAAGATGTCTGTTGCTTTCAGATCAGTGTTAGAATTGTGGGGGATTTTCGCCAATGTTGCGTGTCGATCTGGGTTTGCGTGTTGTGTTTTTCTGAGAATCAGATATGCTCGTTGTGGCCTTAGTTCAATTCCAAAGTCATTTGCTTGTTAGAAACTAGTCCTGTTCTTGTTCATCCAACAGGTGGCAACTTCATTGACTTTGGTTGGCCTGGAATTTTTTTTTTTTTTTTTTGCATTTCTCTTTTGTCGGTTTATTGATCTGTCAACAACCAGCTAGATTGTCTGATCAGCAATCAGGAAATGTCATTCCCCACTCTGATCCTTGGTACTTGTTCTTGATTGAAAATCGACACAGGGTTGTAGTGCTTCCTCTTAAGCATTTACAGTAATCTAAAGACATGCTTGAGTTCTTAATCCCCATTTGCTGCCTCTATAAGACTAGACTATGGGTTCATGCCGGATTTCTTATCAGATACCTTGTTTGTAATGCGGAAGAATGATGCAATTTATTCGTAGGTTAGTTCCTTTACCAATATCACTGCGTTCATTCACGGGCTGATTATGATGATCCTATTTCTGTTGCCCCCAGATCTATCAGCAGTGTGTGTTTCCACACCCGGTGATCCAGTACCCTACAGCATTTATGCTACAACACCACCTGGGCATGCAGCAAAATGTGCTGGAAGTCTGATAACTCCTTTCAAACCTGTGAAATTCATTCTTCATTCTGGTTTTTGCTCTGCGGAATTAGTTTAAAAGCAGCTAGTTGTATCTCACTTGGAAAGAACCAGGTGACCATTGACAATAATCATACGCCCTTCTGAAGCATTCATTAGTGAAGGTGGAGGAGCTCTCCCATTTCTGAGGCTCCTTGTCCATAAAGTTTGTATATACTTACTACTACCTGTTAAGCACAGCCTGTAGATAGCAGAAATATGGAATACAAAGACAGTGTCCTGATGGGGAGGTACGAGGTTGGGAGATTATTAGGCCAAGGGAACTTCGCCAAAGTTCACCATGCAAGAGACCTTAAAACTGGCCAAAGTGTGGCCATTAAGGTCATCGACAAGGAAAAGGCTCTGAAAGCTGGGCTGACTAGCAACATAAAACGAGAGATTTCAGTCATGAGACGAGTCAAACACTTAAATGTGTTGCAGCTCTACGAAGTCATGGCTTCCAAAACCAAGATTTACTTTGTTATCGAGTATGCTAAAGGTGGCGAGCTCTTCAACAAGCTGGCCAAAGGAAGGCTAAAGGAAGATGCAGCTAGGAAGTACTTTCGGCAGCTGATTAATGCAGTTGAATTTTGTCATGGCAAAGGTGTCTACCACAGGGATTTGAAGCCAGAGAACTTGCTGTTAGATGGGAATGGAGTCCTGAAAGTGTCGGATTTCGGGCTGAGTGCCCTTGTCGAATCTAAGTGCCAAGATGGCCTACTACGTACAACCTGTGGGACCCCTTCATATGTTGCTCCTGAGGTTCTCCATGCACGAGGTTATGATGGTGCGAAAGCTGACATCTGGTCTTGTGGGGTGATCTTGTATGTCATGCTTGCTGGCTATCTCCCATTCCATGATGCCAATATGATTGTTATGTACAGGAAAGCCAGCAATGCTGATTACAAGTTACCAGCATGGTTTGCACCTGAAGTGCGTCACTTGCTGTCAAGAATGCTTGACCCAAACCCGGTTACTCGAACCACCATCTCCGAAATAATGGAGGATCCTTGGTTCAGAAAAGGGCCAGAGTCACAATCGGGGTGCTTGAAGAATGATTTGACACGAATCATCCCTCGTGAGACCGGTGGTTATGAAGGGAAAGGCGAAGAGTTGGGGAAACCCACAAGTTTGAATGCATTTGACATAATCTCTTGTTCAAATGGGCTTAACCTGTCTGGTTTGTTTGCTGAGCGTGATCAGAACAAAGAAGCACTGAAGTTTGTGTCACTGCAGTCTGCATTGACTATAATGTCAAAGCTGGAGGACATGGCTACGCATCTAGAGCTTCATGTTAAGAAGAGAGATAGAGGGGTGCTCATACTGGAAGCATCAGATGAAGGTAGAAGAAGAAGCCATTTATCAATTAATGCTGAGGTTTTTGAGTTCACTCCTTTCTGTCATCTGGTGGAGTTGAAAATTTGTGGTGGTGAGAATTTCAAAGAACACTGGCCCACTGTAGAGAAGCAACTAAGGGAAGACTTCAAGGACATTGTTTGGGCATGGAGTGATCGTCAGCGGCATTTGGATTCTGCCTAGCTAACGATTGATCCATTGCGCCATTAGCTTAATCAATGCAAGCTTGAAGATATATATGAATGTCTTCATTCCTTTATTCATCTTGTACCAGGCCGTTGGAACATTTTGAAAGCCCATGTGTATAGATTACATGCATCCATTAATATAGATATATACATATACCTTCTTTCTTCCAATCATATAGTTCTGTCGATTCACTGAAGGTCCCAAGTTTGCCTTTGTACTGGCTGGGAGGTTCTTAGGAAACCGCATTGAGTTAGGACTGAATTCTTTTGTTGCAATCACGGCTCATGAGGGCATAACATGCCCTGGATGTCGTTCCACCAAACTTGAAAACTTAACCCTGACGAGCGAGATAATCCGTTGCAACATTGCTTGAGGATTGATGTGTTCAACAGAGACCTCCCATTGTGCAGCCAGTAACCCTCCGAAAGTTGCGATGTCAGCACAGCTCGAGTGAGACTGATTAGCGGTTTGCAGAATTACCTTCCTTATGCCTTACCAACAAGTAGTGACAACCTTGGAATGCTGGGTCCTTCCATTTTTCCAGGAATGAGGGACAGACATATAACCGCTGCATTTTTTTAATGTTGGGTTTGCCAAATTTCCACCTTATGAGTTGAGCTGATGGTCCAAAAGGAAAGAGCAGATGTCAAGTAATGAAATCAAGGAAGAAGACATAATTGGTTGCATCAGAATCAGATTTGGGTTTGGTCAGCTGATACCCTAAAGAAAGGAAAGGAAAGGAAGCATTGGAAAGTGAAGAATAGCCCCACATGTCTCACAGAGAAGAATAAAGGAACAGCAAGGGGAGGAACATGTTGTGTCCTGTCACATTCAGTACAAAGAAGAAGAAGAGGATTAGAGATGGGGGAAAAAAGATGTCTTCCAGGCCTTATATCTCTGATGTGTCCCTCCAAATAGAAGTGGTTTCTTAGCCTGCTGGTGCTGCTGCCTTCTTCCCACTTGCTAAGACAAGCATCTGTTATCCAACAAGGGCAAAGCCCAACAGTTCACCAATATATGCATACTTATCTATCTCTTTTTTTTTTTTTGGTGGAGTACTTATCTATCTCTTCACTCCACACACTATTATTCTTGCTTTTTCTTTTGGGTGTTATATATGCTGTGGGTTTGATATGACATGGGAAATTTGGCTTTTGTCCATGTCGAAAGTATCTCATAATTGTGTCAACCTAGATTGAATTAAATGGTCAACATCTTCTATATCTTAGAACTCTTTAGATGGGCATGTTGGAGAAAACAAGTAGGCAAGACTAATTACGGTTGTCCCATTCACTTTATTGCCAAATGCCAATCTATTAATCTAATTAGTATTAGGGACCGGTGGCGGTGAGGTTGGTTTTGGTTTTGATTTCTTTTATTTTAACCGAAACCAAAATTAATTAGAAGGTGAAGGGTTCAGTTTTTCGATTTTAAATGGTTTAGAAGCTTAACAATTTTGATTTCAATTAAATAAAGAAACTATTAGCATCTTAATGGTTATGAGAACAACATCATATGTTAAATTTCATTCCTCCTACATTGGAGGTGGAATTTACTTTGCAAATTGGCAATAACAGGAAAATTGAGAACTCTATTTATCTCATGCGCGCTTTCTTCTCTCGTACATGAAAAATAGCTTGATGAAATATTTGTAAGCTACTAAAAAATGAATGAAAAGGGACATACTCCAAGGATCATCCCCACAATCAGAGCAGTCCAATAAATCGTGGATGTACTGTTCTTGAATTGAGATGTTCAAGTTTTAAATATAATGAAACAAAAAGTAGTCATAACATCATTATTTAAACAATAACAGAAATAAACTAATCTACTAAATCTTCAATATTTGGATTCTGCGAGAAATCATTTTCAACCATAATATCATTTTCAAACATAATATCATCGATTAATCATTTAAGGATTTTTTGTGTCATTTTATAACAACAGGGCTTTCACAACATAAATATGACTTTCACGATGAAAATACATGCCTCGTTTATTTACATGTGAATATTAACTAATAAATAGCACTAATATTAATTAATATATTTAAATGCATCATCGTAACCATAATCAATCAATCAATCATATACCACAAGTTCATCATATAATATAGGATTAGATCAACTAATAGAACTACGATGGATACCCTCTAATATTAGGATACCCTGCGTCGGAGGGACTCCCAAAACACCCTATTGGCCGGTCATGCCTGTACGTGGGCGTTGGGTCGTGCTTGGGCCGGCACGATATAGGCACGATTCGGGCCCGTTTATTTCGTGCCGTGCTCGGCACGATCCGTTAGTTTTCGTGTCGTGTCAGCCCATTTGTTAATTTTACTAGGGCCGACCTACGCTCGAGAACGGTTTGAATCGTGCCGCGTATTTAATGAAAAGAAAGAAAATATAAAAGGTAATGAAAAACAAGGAACAAATTGGACGGAGAATGAAAGTATTAACCGAGAATGTAAGAAATGTAACAAATAAGGGGGGAAAAATTGAAAATATAGTGGGTGTGATTTGACTTTGTTTAATACTTCGTCTATTTTTGCTTATGATAGTAATTAAGTATATATATTTATGATCACTTCTAACAACAGTAAATAATTTTTATTGTACTTGCATTTTTTAAGATTTGGACCTATAATCCTTTTTATTTTTATTTTCTGTCAAATAAATATTCTTTTCATGCCATGTTCGTTTTCAATAGAGTCTCGAAAATATTAGGCCCGACACGGCCCATAAATTTTTCGTGCTCGTGCCGGGCCGGCCCATATATTTCTTGTCCGTGTCGTGCCAGCCCTTGGGCGGCCCGGCCCGTTGCCCATGTACAGTTGTGCCCACTGTTCCTCGTTAATCCAAACCAAAACCTTAAGTGGAAGACATCATTAAAGACTATGAGTTTGGTTTTTGATTATTTAAAAACCGAAACCATTAAGGATCAATCGACTTTTGGTTAGCCAATAAAGTCCTTAATAATTTTAGTTTCGATTTTTCCACATTCGGCTGATTTTATTTTTTTATTTAAATTTTACGTGCTTAATGTTTTGGTTAACCAAACCAAACTGACAGCTCTAATTAGTACTATCATAAATCTCATGAAATTCACATGTCAACCTAGAGTGATAGTCCTTAGTGTTGGATTTAAGTCTTGGCAGACTCTAATTTTTCATTACACGTTAATACAGTTGTATAAATCAGATAGCATCTTTATCGGCGTTTTAATTCTCTAACACCAGAATTCAATTCATGGTGTTCAATTTGGAAATTGATTGTCACCTTAGCCTATCAAGTTACCTCATCAAACAACTCAATCTTGAAAAAACATCACGATGTTTGTCTTATTTCACATATACCCACTCCAAATTAACAAGCAATGGACAATTGGAGGGTAGGAGAACATCATTGTCAAACAAAAGGAAGGAAGCTGGAAAAAGAGCAATGAAAAAGTAGAATACACAAGCTACCCCCACGATGTGTCTGTGAGCATATGGTAAGTAGTGGAGGAAGGGAGGATCTCAACAATATGCAAAAGGAAACAAATAATAAGAAATAATAAAAAGTTGGATGGTACCCTTCTTCAATTGTTTGGATACCCTGATCATGAGGAGAGAGGGCAACCAATGAGAAAGAGATCATTAGAAAACAACATGGAGCAACTTGAAAATGAAACCAAACCCCTCTTTCTGTACTTTCTTTCTTTCTTGCACTCACAAACACAACACACACCTGGCCTCCTCCACACATCACCTTTCATTACCTAAAAAGAAAGCACAACCTTTTCTCTTTGCCTTGCTTTTGTTATTTGAGAAAGAGAAAGTGTTTCTGCTGGCTGGCTGGCTGGATCCAACAATTTTGTTTTGTTGGTACACTTAAGAGGTCATTTGTTATATGTGATTACAAATGGTGTATTGGCCAATGCATGTATTGCACATAAGGTATCATTTTTTTAAGATGAAACATAATGCATTTATTTGATTGTTGATTTGACATTTGAAATCATTTAATTGATGTATCTCATAATTCTAGCGTCATTTCAAAATATCTCATCCATCTTAATTCACACTTAAATAACATGAGCCAATCCATATTGTCTCTGCCTAACCGTTGCAACCCCATTTTATGTTGTTGGACGAGTAAATTTGACACAGTTGCTAATCGAACCCTCAACAGATTCAAATGTTTAAGTGAAATTGGAGCAAAGTTGGGCAACAAGTGTAGGGAGAAACTGAATTGGAGTTCACGATCTTAGGCAGAAGATATCGGTAGGGACTCTCAGGTTCTATTATAAGTTCACGGGCGGATGAAGAAGATCATAGACATGATCATTGAGACCATGTCGTGAACCCTACCAATAAAAAAGCCAGTAGAAATTGATAGTTTTGTGGCCTAACGCACAAGCGCCAATGGGAGACCGTGACATGAAGATCACAACCGTGAACATGAGGTCGTGATCTCAGGATGTTTAGAATAGAATGACGATGTATCAGAGTTCACGAGATCTTATATTTCAATTCAGGCCGTGAACTGGACCAGTCATGGTCCTTATATATAGCTGATCGATTTTTTAAGGTAAAGAATATCATATTTTTCAATTTTAGTACAAATGAGAGAGAGAGAGAGAGAGAGAGAGAGAGAGAGAGAGAGAGAGAGAGAGAGAGACTAATTCTGGAGCTTTGGAGATGGGGTTCCCAGAGTTTGAGTTGTCAAGATGTTGAGTTATCCATATTTTTTTGTGTCCTTCCTCCCCCTTTCACGGGGTGATGCTTTTTGAGCTTGGGGTGAGAAATCCTAAACTAGATGTAGGGTATTTTGGATTTCAAGTATATTATGTCTACTTTCAATAAAAAAGTATATTATGTTTACTTAATTGATTTTAATACATGTCCATGTCTTATGTGTTGATCATGATTTAGAGCTTGGCGTATGGAGGTGATCATTCAATTGGGTCAAGCTAGGGCTAAAATCAAGTAGAACAACTAGACAATTGGATGATCATTGGATTACTTAGTTGTGTGAGTGTGGGCTTGTCCTAATCTACAAGTATTGTGCATATCCCCAGCTATGGTGGTCAATTACATGACCATTTATTTGGTCACATAGCTAGGAGGAAAATTGGGTCGATTGGTCCAATTGCCTCTTAATTGATTATTGAAATGAAGCAATTGGAATCCATTATGGTTACGTTTCCAATGAGGTAGGTTAGGGGCAACATCCCAAGTAGCTCTCTATCTCTCTCGACTTAAGTTTGATAGCATTTTGTCGGAAGTTAATCTAAATAACGATTTAATCTCTTAAGTAGTGATAGTTTTCCCGTTTTTGTGGAACACGGCCTTGGTAAGAGGGTGACCGCTCTACTTTAATGTCAATCTAGAGTATACTAGTCCTAGATTGGGTTGAAAGTAGAAGGCACCTACCAAGTTTTCATCTCTTTGATTACTTTTGTGAACACGAACCATTGTTTCAATTTAAGGCAATTGGACCAAATTAACTTATCCAATTCCATCATCCAAACGACCCCTGAATAATCTCAATTTTTTGTTGAAAATTTTGAGATTTTATATCCATTTTTATTTTCTTTTATGTTCCTATTGAAATTTATGTATAATTGTCTTTTCAATGGTAGATATGACTTTTCTTTTAAAACGTGAATTTTTAATTTTGTTCCTTTAA